AAAACTGAGCCTTGATCCTTCTGACTATAAAGCCCTTTTGCTTATCCAAAAGGACTTGGACATCCATGGTCAACGACGGAGTCAATGCCACTCCGCCGGAATATTCTGTTCTTGATATTTCGTCGAATAAATTTTCCGGGAGCTTGAAATTCTTGAACAACTTTCCCAATCTGGAAAAACTGAACCTTGCTGATAATATGTTTGCCGGAAAACTCCCTTTATCTTTGAGGTCTTTTCGGAATCTTCGATTCATCAACATCTCCGGCAACACTTTACTGGAAGGTCCATTGCTTGTAATAAATCAATTGGAGCATTTATCGTCGGAAAATATTCAAAATCGTTATATTTTAGCTGAGAAATCAATGGAAAGAAACCTTACATCTGCAAGGGCAATGGCCCCTTCTTCGAGTAAAGGCCTTAATGGCATTCATGCTGAAGCTTCGTCCCCCACGGCGACGACAAAACATAAACATAAGAAGACGAAGAGGAAAATACTGTCAGGTAATCGGACTTCTAGTCGGAACTTTTGCTGGTATTCCTTCGGGATCGGTATTGTATTTTCTCTTGAAGTTTATCACTTTCTTGATCGAAGGACAAAAGATGGACAGAAGTTTGGCGATTTTTAGCATGTTGATCAGGACAGGTCCGGGTCGTCGGTAGGCGGCGGATCCGGACTCCTTTTTTACTTTTTTTTCCTCCTCTTTTTTCTCTCTAAATCTCTTCTATTGGTTTGCAAATGAGGAGGGTATTTTCGACCATAACAATTTTATTTAAATTTTGGTTAAAGGCCTATGTGAAAAAGTGGGTGGATGGGGCAGCCGTTAGTCACCATTTCCTCTTTTCTCAATTTCCCTTTATAAGGGTTGTCAAACAGGGCAAAATTATCGCCAACCATTTGAAGCTCGAGCCACAATCAAGCACCACCGTGCCTATTCTGCTTTAAATCACCGCCGTGAATGACTTGGACTTCCACTCCCACTCCGTCAAAATCCTACTTCTTATTTCTCTTCTTCTTGCTCTAATCCATCTTGTTCAATCAAAACTGAGTCTTTATCCTTCTTACTATAAAGCCCTTTTGCTTATCCAAAAGGACTTGGACTTCCATGGTCAGCGACGGAGTCGATGCCACTCCGCCGGAATATTCTGTGAATGGAGATTCACAAACAATTCCTATGTACTCAAAGTCACCCGTCTGGTGTTTGAGTCCCAAAATTTGACGGGAATAATTTCTACGGTAGTCGGAAAACTCTCTGAGCTTAAAGAACTTTCCCTTCAAAACAACGAACTCTTCGGCCAAATCCCTACTGAAATTTTTCAACGCCAGAGACTTGAGATGTTCAACATTAGGAAGAATCAATTTTCCGGCGAAGTTCCGGAGGGACTTTCGTCGTTAATTCGCCTTCGTGTTCTTGATATTTCGTCGAATAAATTTTCCGTGAGCTTGAAATTAAAATTACTAAACATATATTTATTAATTATTTCATATATTTAATTATTAAACATATATTTAAGTCAAACAAAAAATTAAAATTCTATTTAATCTATTTTTAAATATTTCGTTCATTATCTTAACATATTATTTATTTCATATTTAATTACATTTTTAACATAAAAATTAAAATAAATTAATGAAAAAAAAATTAAATATTAATGGTCGGGTTCGGACAGGCCAAATGGTCCGGATCCAGACCTGATGGTCCGTTACGGACCGTAACTGACTGGTCCGTCACCGACAGACCAAAATTCCGTCCAACTCGCCGGAAAACTCCATTTCTGACGAGCTCCGTCTCATTTTTCCAGTTTTCTGACTGGTCCGTAACCGACAGACCAAAATTCTGTCCAGCTCGCCGGAAAACTCCATTTCTGGCGAGCTCCGTCTCATTTTTCCAGTTTTCCCAACATTCAACCTCAAATTCAATCTTTTCTTCCATTTTAACCATAAAAAATTGAATTTAACTCATTCAAATTCTAAACATTCAAACTTACACATTTTCGAAGAAGTTATTTATAGAGAACATGTCTAACCTTTCAGAAAAATGGCGTTTCTCCTGCTGATCGTGGTGTGTCCAGAGAGGTCGAAGTGGGACAGGTCCGGGTCGTCGGTAGGCGGCGGATCCGGACTCCTTTTTTACTTTTTTTTCCTCCTCTCTTTTCTCTCTAAATCTCTTCTGTCGGTTTGCAAATGAGGAGGGTATTTTCGACCATAACAATTTTATTTAAATTTTGGTTAAAGGCCTATGTGAAAAAGTGGGTGGGTGGGGCAGCCATTAGTCACCATTTCCTCTTTTCTCAATTTCCCTTTATAAGGGTTGTCAAACAGGGCAAAATTATCGCCAACCATTTGAAGCTCGAGCCACAATCAAGCACCACCATGCCTATTCTCCTTCAAATCACCGCCGTGAATGACTTGGACTTCCATTTCCACTCCGTCAAAATCCTACTTCTTATTTCTCTTCTTCTTGCTCTAATCCATCTTGTTCAATCAAAACTGAGTCTTGATCCTTCTTACTATAAAGCCCTTTTGCTTATCCAAAATGACTTGGACTTCCATGGTCAGCGACGGAGTCGATGCCACTCCGCCGGAATATTCTGTGAATGGAGATTCACAAACAATTCCTATGTACTCAAAGTCACCCGTCTGGTGTTTGAGTCCCAAAATTTGACGGGAATAATTTCTACGGTAGTCGGAAAACTCTCTGAGCTTAAAGAACTTTCCCTTAAAAACAACGAACTCTTCGGCCAAATCCCTACTGAAATTTTTCAACGCCAGAGACTTGAGATCTTCAACATTAGGAAGAATCAATTTTCCGGCGAAGTTCCGGAGGGACTTTTGTCGTTAATTCGCCTTCGTGTTCTTGATATTTCGTCGAATAAATTTTCCGGGAGCTTGAAATTAAAATTACTAAACATATATTTATTATTTATTTCGTATATTTAATTACTAAACATATATTTAAGTCAAACAAAAAATTAAAATTCTATTTAATCTATTTTTAAATATTTCGTTCATTATCTTAACATATTATTTATTTCATATTTAATTACATTTTTAACATAAAAATTAAAATAAATTAATGAAAAAAATTAAATATGAATGGTCGGGTCCAGACCGGCCAAATGGTTCGGATCCAGACCTGATGGTCCGTTACGGACCGTAACTGACTGGTCCGTAACCGACAGACCAAAATTCCGTCCAGCTCGTCGGAAAACTCCATTTCTGGCGAGCTCCGTCTCATTTTTCCAATTTTCCCAACATTCAACCTCAAATTCAATCTTTTCTTCCATTTTAACCATAAAAAATTGAATTTAATTCATTCAAATCATAAACATTCAAACTTACACATTTTCAAAGAAATTATTTATAGAGAACATGTCTAACCTTTCAGAAAAATGGCATTTCTCCTGCTGATCGTGGTGTATCCAGAGAGGTCGAAGTGGGACAGGTCCGGGTCGTCGGTAGGCGGCGGATCCGGACTCCTTTTTTACTTTTTTTTCTTCCTCTTTTTTCTCTCTAAATCTCTTCTCTTGGTTTGCAAATGAGGAGGGTATTTTCGACCATAACAATTTTATTTAAATTTTGGTTAAAGGCCTATGTGAAAAAGTGGGTGGGTGGGGCAGCCATTAGTCACCATTTCCTCTTTTCTCAATTTTCCTTTATAAGGGTTGTCAAACTGGGCAAAATTATCGCCAACCATTTGAAGCTCGAGCCACAATCAAGCACCACCGTGCCTATTCTGCTTTAAATCACCGCCGTGAATGACTTGGACTTCCACTTCCACTCCGTCAAAATCCTACTTCTTATTTCTCTTCTTCTTGCTCTAATCCATCTTGTTCAATCAAAACTGAGCCTTGATCCTTCTGACTATAAAGCCCTTTTGCTTATCCAAAAGGACTTGGACATCCATGGTCAACGACGGAGTCGATGCCACTCCGCCGGAATATTCTGTTCTTGATATTTCGCCGAATAAATTTTCCGGGAGCTTGAAATTCTTGAACAACTTTCCCAATCTGGAAAAACTGAACCTTGCTGATAATATGTTCGCCGGAAAACTCCCTTTATCGTTGAGGTCTTTTCGGAATCTTCGATTCATCAACATCTCCGGCAACACTTTACTGGAAGGTCCATTGCTTGTAATAAATCAATTGGAGCATTTATCGTCGGAAAATATTCAAAATCGTTATATTTTAGCTGAGAAATCAATGGAAAGAAACCTTACATCTGCAAGGGCAATGGCCCCTTCTTCGAGTAAAGGCCTTAATGGCATTCATGCTGAAGCTTCGTCCCCCACGGCGACGACAAAACATAAACATAAGAAGACGAAGAGGAAAATACTCTGTCAGGTAATCGGACTTCTAGTCGGAACTTTTGCTGGTATTCCTTCGGGATCGGTATTGTATTTTCTCTTGAAGTTTATCACTTTCTTGATCGAAGGACAAAAGATGGACAGAAGTTTGGCGATTTTTAGCATGTTGATCAAGAATCCCAAGGACCTAGCTTTTCTCGGGAGAGAGGATGGATGGAATGGACTGAATGTTATCGGACGAGGTGGATGTGGAGAAGTTTACAAGTCAACTTTACCGGGAACAAATGGAAAGGAAATTGCTATAAAGAAGATAATTCAGCCTTCTCGGGATGCAGAAGAGCTTGCTGAGGAAGACAGCAAACATCTGAACAAGAAGATGCGACAGATTAGGTCAGAAATTCAGACGTCGAGTCAAATCAGACATAGGAATCTGCTTCCTCTATTAGCCCATTTGTCACGGCCTGACTGCCATTATCTTGTGTATGAATACATGAAGAACGGTAGTCTACAAGATGTTCTCGAAGCTGTCTCGAAAGGGAGACGAGAATTAGACTGGCTCGCACGATACAAGGTTGCCATAGGAGTAGCTTCGGGACTTGAGTATCTACACTTGAATCAAACCCCAAGTATTATTCACAGAGACCTCAAGCCGGCTAATATCCTTCTCGATGATGAAATGGAAGCCCAAATTACAGATTTCGGGCTTGCAAAAGCCATGCCCGAAGCTAACACACACGTTACAACTTCAAATGTGGCCGGAACGGTAGGATACATTGCCCCGGAGTACTACCAAACTTCACAGTTCACTGAGAAGTGTGATATATATAGCTTCGGCATAGTGCTTGGCGTTCTGGCGATGGGCAAGTTCCCATGGGACGACTTCTTCCAACACACAGACGAAATGACTTTAGTGGGGTGGATGAGAAATGTGATGACATCTGACGATCCGAAAAGGTCAATCAATCCTAGACTCCTCGGAAATGGATACGAAGAGCAGATTCTTTTGGTTCTCAAGATTGCTTGTTATTGCACCTTGGATAATCCAAAAGAGTGGCCCGACAGTAAGGAAGTTAGATGCATGTTAACTCAAATTTAGCATTGATTGTGCAAGAAAAAAGTACGTACTTATAAGCTATGCTGCTATGATTGTGTCTATAGAACATACATGTAGATAGAGTCAATTGTAAGCTGCATTAAGTTGATTCTGGGGTTTGTTTTGAAGTTGTGCGTTATTCCTCAGTTAAGATTAATCTGTACACATGAAGTACCTTATTGACAGTTTGGTAGCGTGTATAGCACAACACGCAATACATGATTTGCTATTTTTGTTCATACGATTTTCTAGCAAAATTCTATAAAGATGAGTTCGTGACGTAATTAGTCAAAGAGAAATATCCACGGAAAATACGAAAGAAGAAAAAGAATTAAAACTTTGTCATCGTTAATATCTATAATTTCGAAATTATCAATCCAATATTCTTTTTAAAATATTGATTTGTATAATTTATACTTTTATTTAGGAAGCAATAATAAAATATTCTTTAGAACGTTAACATGTATAAGATTTATACCTTTTTAGGAGTGTTAAGTGTTAACTAAATATTCGTCTAGAATATTATTTAAAAATAGTAATGTTTAGTCAAGAATATTGAATAAAATATACATACAAATAGTAGTCTAGATCTCGCAAGTTGCTGATCAAAGCTAAACTGTTGAAGAAACTAATCAATCCTTCCACAAAATTAGCTTTATGGAGAGTTATTTTTTGATCCTTGATTGAATGTTTTATCAACTAACCAACCGTTGTGCAATTTAGTAGATTTATATAGCAGGTATACAACTGATGCACGTATTGCCTTTTTCTGAAGGTAATATTAATGGATTGAGTATTAGGGATTCATGAGATATGTACGTTAAATGAGTTGTTAGAAAGCAAAGGTAGTATTTTATTTATAGCAACTTGGCTCATAGAACGAAAATTGCGAGGAAAAAAAACATATAACTACATTGTCAAAGTATCTGTTGCTAAATACCTTTCCCCTATATTAATTCTTTAATTTTTAATTTTCACAAGTGAAGAGAGGAGGAAGTTTACGCATAGGCCACTTAAATCAGACATTGAAAAAGTGTAACAAGAAGAGGGATAACCTTTTATCCATGTATATTATGTGCTCCTATAAGCATGAGTTTTTCCTCCCATAAGAGTTCTATTGATCCAACTGTTTAATTCTAGCACTAAAAAGCTATCTCCTATCGTTAAAAGTTTACGTGAAGATGACTTCAGTTTACTTTCAAAACAAAGTCGATATTTAAATGTGATAATACCGAGCCCGTCTCACCATAGTTGTCGTCTCGAATCATCTTGCTTTCATCATCTAAAAAGGTAGTGAAGATGACGTGGAATGAGCTAACGCTAAGTAAGCAAACCTTAAACATATGATCCATACTTATGACATGCACATGGGTTACTTTAAAATATAAGGTCTTTCTCAACGTATATCTCATTTTCATTTATTTCTTTATAAACTTTAACATTAACATCATGAACTCACTTGGAGCCTAGCCAATCAGAATACAGTGGGCAATTATTATTTTGAAATCTGATTGAATATTATGGTAGTACTACAAAGCTGTTAACATTAACATTGAACATCAAGCATTTGTTGGGTGCGCTGCTCCCTTACGCCTCATTTCTCACTCACACTTTTCATGGCATAAACATATACCTCGTAATATAAGCATTCGGGATAAATATCTTTTTAAAATATTTTTTTTGACTCATTGACATTTGAAAACTTTCTATTTCTTAAAAATTCATGTATGTTTATGATTGTATTGATGTGCATGAACATTGGCTGAACTGGGGTGGGACATGGTAAGTCACTTGCCCCACACACTTTTTTGACTTTTTAAATATTTTTTAACTAACTGTATTATGCTTATATTTGCACTGGCATCTATTTTACTCTGACATTTATTAGTGATGCAACCTTTAGGAATATTACAACTTTCAAAATATGAAGACTAAAAGGGTGAGTGGAAAACCAAATATTGTAAATGAAACACCCAAATACCGAATGCTTATTCAACTGGCTGGGCAAGTAGAGGTAGATGCCGATGTTAGTCACTTGGACCAAGATGGTTATGGCACAGGGTACTTTATTCAACCAACTGGGCAAATACAGGTAGATGCCAATGGTAGTCACTTGGACCAAGGAAATGAAGGTGAAGATGCTGAAAAGCAAGAAGATATCAGCAGTGAAGACGACCAAGATGGTTCAGTTCAGGAATTCCCGACATCTTCCCGAAAGAGAAGGAACGGCGAAGATAATGATAATAAAAAGGATCTTGAGGAGGAGGAAAAGAAGCACAAGTAATTATGGGTTTGGATGGTTTTGTTTATTCCTAAGTAAAATGGCGGGAACTTGAAATTTGTAGGCTGGTATTTGCAGTGGTGGAGCCACGTTGAGACGGGTGCGGGCCCGCACTGAAATTTTAGGCCTTATTTATTTATTTTTATTTTATATCAAGAGGGGAGGTGGAATAAAAGCATGTTTTAATTTACATGAGTTTTATTTTTAGGCCTAAACCCATGATTTTGTTTTATGGTTTTATCATCATTAAATTCATAACCAAAACACAATGTTCGACATGGGTTAAGTCAGGGGCGGATCCAGACCTTTAGTATTGTGGGGTCAAAATTTTAAAAATAATTTTTTTAATAGACGACATAATATCAATGAAAATAAGTTTATATGTATTTTGACAATTTGAAAACGTGGTATAATTACATCATTATTAATATTATTAAATAAATTTTTCTACTTATAAAGTTTTGTTTATCATTTCATTGGCAAATGTTGAGCTAACATTGAGTAAATTAAATAGAATATAGAAATTAAATGAATTGAAATAAAATTCAAGTTTAGTTCAGAAAGTAAATGAAATTTAAATTTAAAGCAAATATAATTCGAAAGTAATTCAAATTGTATTTAATTTATAACGATCCTAAAAAATTTACGTCATATTTCATATAAGACTTCCGAATGAAGCGATATAAATTATATTGAAAAATTTATCGTGTAAAAATAATAATTAATTGAATTTTTTAAAAGAAAAAATGAATTAAAAGTCTTTTTTAGACGTACGTTTGATACATATTTAACTATTTTTGATATCCGTTTGGATCATTCGATATGTAAACGATGTAGTTTTCGAAACAAACTTTTACATGGCATAGACGATTTGTGGATTCAGATAGCACATGATCGCAAACGAATTTTTAAAATTAGGATATTATTGAAATTCTCAAAATACTAGTTTCAAACGCTCTACTTTAACATATCATAACTTTTGCAATAGTTGACCACTTCGCATGCCATTAATGAGTGAAAAATTATGCCATGAGCACTTTTAAAATGGTATTAAGAATGTAATATTTTGACTTTATTTGGCATCTCGACAAGTGCATCAAAATAGATTGTTAAAAAAAAAAACAGGGGCAAAATTTTGTGGGGTCATTTGACTCCACATGACCCCATGTGGGTCCGCTCCTAGGTTAAATTATGCTCGCACTGAAAAATTTTCTTGGCTCCGCCTGTATTTGGGTGTTTCTTTGACAATTTTTGGAGGGGAAATGTGAATGGAGAATAATTGTAATAAGATATCGAATGTTTTAATTTTAATAATTTTTTTTTTTTTTTGCAAGTTTGATTTTTCCCCCTAATTGTGCATGAATATGTCATGAAAATCATTAATAACATAAAACGTAATAATCAAATATCATGTTCACATAATAATAAGATCGATGACACATTGATACATTTAATGATGTAAAGTACCCATGAAGACAGGGATATGTTTATTTACCTAATTCCTTAAGTAATCACTTTTGATTGCGAGTAGAGTAGAAAATTCATTGATCGTCCATGAGGTCATCGTGCCAATAATCCTAAGTCATTTTTATTTCAGTATTAAAGACCTTCATCGTGTGTATAATTGTTTATTATATTTACTTTTAATCATTATTGATTAATCACCTAACTTAAAATACATGACAAGAATAAAATGCATGCATGTTACAAACAAGGATATTTTAGCACATAGTCAATATTCTAATATGTGCTTACATTTAATTGATTATGTATTTAAGTTTAATATTATTTAAAAGTGTAACATACTAAGTTAAAACAGATCAATAAAAACCCAACTCTTGTTGACTTAAATTATATGTGGTTACACGTGTTGTTGTGAGATAAAAAGATTGTGACGATAATAAAGTTTACATATATAATAATTTTCATATTACACTAAAGGGCCAAACATTTTTAAAAGTTACTAGACAATGCCCAAGCAGCAGATGTAGAACACAAATCTTAATTAACACTCGAGCTTTTGGTAATATACAGTACTCCTATTTGCAAAGGGATGCATACTATATTTGTTTAATTATTATATATTGTATATTATAAATCTAATTAATTATGTATTATACAGTCAAAATGATGTTATCAAAAATAATATTTATAATAATTAATATAATGTGTAAAATTGTCTTCTAACACAAGCTGCAGCATCATTTATATATTTACTTTATTTAAGTAAATATTAAATTAATAAAAAAATCCTAGCATTAGAGCAATAATTTGAAAATAATACAAAATAGTAATTTATGGATAATAAATCCAGTTTCCCTTGCCTTTAAATTTTTTATTCGAATAGTGAAATTTCAAATAACAAACGTCAAAGTATTATATTATTTAAATATATCGATCCAACATATAACGACCACAATACTTCAGAAATTTATTAGAACTTATATTGTTAAGCAACGTTTAATGTACTAAATCAACATGATCCAAAGTTATAAATATAAAATATCACTTATAGTAGAACAATTGGAAAAAGACAAACCCTAATTGAAAATAAATAAATATTATGTCTCTTTGAAGATGGGAATGAAGCTATGAATATCCCTTGGCTATGGAAAAATATAGGAATGGGAAAGACGAGTGGTTGGACGGTTTTAAAGTTGAGGAATGTTTTTATTTTGCACTAAAAAGTATAAAATTAGGAAAGTTTTATTTTTCAATTTAA